TAACGTCAACTCTTGAATTTTCTTGGTGTCAAATCCTGCAACTTAAATGGGCCAGACTACTTATTAGCCACGACTAGAAGGTTTAAGGAAACCTGGCTTGAAGAAGACTCAAAGCGGATATTCGAAATTAGTAACAATCAAGCAGGTTCAAAACATCATAACATATCAATGATACATATCGGTTTTTTGGGGTCATTGATACGAAAAATAATGGAGGTTAAAAGATTACAATTGTGTTGAATGTTAACATTTTATTGGGAGAATGACGGTTTAACCCAATCTTAGAATCTATAGGCCAAAAGTACAATTAGGGTAGATGTCAGATTGGAATTGATGCTAATTCACGGCAGACATTGATGCATAAGATGGGGGTAATTAATATTTTAAAATGTTGTAAATCTACAGTTGAAATCAGAATTCTACATTGGGCCTATCTGTACTTTTTTATAACAGAAAGCCTATCAAATGTTTTGAATGTTAATGTTTAGATCAATTTAAATTCTTGATACACAAATTTATACTACTAATAAAAGAGCAAATAGCCCCATTTTTTGGACTTTTCATTAGATATTTTTACCCCTTATCAAAGCAACATACAACGGGCATAAAAAAAGGGCATATATATATCATTTACTCTCATTCCAAAAACTGCTCACTTATAACTGTTAATAAACTGTCCACTTATAACTGTTCAAAAACTGTCCACTTGTAATAATTAAGAAATTGTCCACTTATAACTATTCAAAAACTATCCATAAATTATAAATAATTTTGTTTTAGAGATTTGCACGTATATATTTACTAATGTATACAAGAGTACCAATACATTGAACCTTAAAAAGCAACCATTCATGATGGAACTTTGATTCACCAAAAATTTTCAAGATTAAAGAATATATTTCCAAGTCCACAATTAAGTATATATGCATGATATATAATTAATTCTGTAGACTTTTCACGTCCGATAATTAATAGGATTTGACCATGATGTGAAAATACTTATAACCAATCAATTGGCATCATAATTCATAAAAGTAGTAACCAAGTCAGGTGGGTTTTCATCAAAATTCAATGTTAGGGTTTTAAATGGACAAAGTCTTTTAGGTATTATAGATTTTTTTTTCTAATTGATATTTTCTTGCCTAAATTAAACTGAGTTGACAGAAGGACCATAAACCTCATGTGTTTTTAAATGTCCAAATAAACAAAACCCTAAACCTTATGACTCAGTTTGAAAAAAGTATAAATACAAATATGTAAAACGCAAAACCTTATATTTTGTATTGTTTTCTATGTATTTGCACATATTTGTTGGTCAAGTATTTTGCTCATTTACTACAAATGCATTTCTTGGATTAAATGATGGCCGGGCATCATCTAATGTTGGTCTTGGCTATACCCAAGAGGTGATGGGAGGGGTGGAGTAGATGTAGATCCTAACCTTAGTTATTTTTCACACACAAGGTGATTAATTTCATTGAATCGTTTCCGCATGCTTGTCATTTGTCAACCCAAGATGTTATCATTTTATCAAGCATTAATTGTATATAGAAGATATAAGGGTACAAAAAAAAATTTAAAAATTAAAAAATGAAAACCGGTCAAAATTGTTCGAACAATTAACCATCTGGGTCAGTGATTTACTGATCAAAATCAAAATTTTTTATGAAAAACCTGATTTTGAGGGAAACCGGAATCAGTCACCTGACTGATTCCCGATTTTTCCAGTCCGACTGTCCGGTCTGGTCCGGTTTTGAGAACCATGGCAATTAGCAACGCATTTCCCTACTCCTGGGTTAATTTGAGTCAGTTTCAAACCTTTTTCAGTGTTCAATGACTCACAACACTTTAGCTGAACAACTCGTTCAATTCAACCCCATAGACACAAATTGCAGTACTCGAAGTGATTAATCAGAGAGATGAGCGACACTCAAAATTAAAGGGTATTTGGTTCTTGACCCTAGCTACCTGCCAGACCATTCTTTCTGTTAACCTGACCAGCCCACGTGGTTCACAGTGTTCCAAACTTCCAATCCAATTAACAAGTTGGGTTTTCCCAATTTAGTCCTTTTGGGGGGTTGCTCATTAACTCGGGTTAGGTTAATTTGTGTTGTACATTTTCCAGCCCGACCAGGAGATCAACCTGCCCAAGCCCTACTAGGTCTGTAAATGAATTGGTTTCTGATAGGATCTATCTATATTTTGAATCAGACCCTTTATTTTGATTGGATTAATTCCCATTTTTAATCCAGACCCTAATCCAATTATAAACGAATTTGATAGTTTTTAGATCAAAATCTGGTTTAATCAAATCAAAATTTAAACCTAGACTCTGATAATTAGGTATCATTAACATCCCTATGCCCAACGAAGCACCAGCCAAGTGAACATAATCATAATAGATTCTCAAATGCTTCAACTAGTTTCATTACCAAGAACGAACAACCCATGTGACAGAAATCTTGGAATTGTCTCCAAAATGGTACTACCTACTAACAAAGATTGTACCCCATACTTAAATGATATGGGCCATGCCTTTCCCAATCTTATGTACTACACCCATTTTCATATCAAATCCAAATGAGAAAAACGGAAATGGGTCCATCATGGCCCACTTAACCATCAATATGAACCATTCATTTATTGGACCATGCATGAAACATAGCCTCAAGAGTAGGGCAAACTTATAAAGCTGCTTTATACCTTCATCAGCCATAGATTTCTACTGACAAAGAAACAGAGCATGGGTATTTGGGTTTTGGGCCTTTTGGCTTCACCAATCAAAGTTGAATGTTCCAATCCAAAGTATCTCTCCAAGAAATTTCTATTTTACAGAAAGCAACCAGTGGAGTGGATCAGACGTTTTGTTTTGTTTTTTGTTTTTTCTTATTTCTTTGGGGGGGGGGGACCAAATATTAGTGGTTCCAAACACTGCCCTGAGGCTTTTCTTTAATAAAATCTATGCTTTCTATCAGCCATATTTAATTCTGTGACCTAAATAGTACTATAGAACTGGATTGATTATAGTTTGTTTTCGTTTCCTTTTTTTTTTTTATTTTAGAAAGTTGTCTTAACTCAGCTTTGTTTACTTGATTTAAATTATTCTTAAATGAATAAAAAAAACACTAAATCCTATAAAAAATAAACACAAGATATCTTAGTCAGGAGTTGCATTTGACCGTATCATCTCTGATAAATTAAAACTTGAATGAAAATAATAAAAAATGATTTAAACATTCATAATTTAATTTAATGATAAATATAACATGGGACAAAAAAAAAAAAACAAAACGATGGAACGGAATTCATAAACCGACCCCATATAATTGGAAAAAACTTACAGATCCTGTGGGTTAGAAGGTGTTGAAACCCAAAGTCAATCCGTTTAAGTCGGGCTCAAATTAGATGGGACCCTAACCAGTTAGCCCAATTTTTCTACCAAAGGTGCCAGGTTGACTGGGTTTACCCAGTCCCAAAGGCAGCTCTAGATGGGCTTCCCACTTTTTCTTGAAAAGATTCCAAATTTCAACTATAGCTAATAAGATCAATACATCATTTCATCTAAATTCCAACTTACAAGTGAGTAGTGAGTAATTATAGACATATGGGGGCATCTAGGATGTTAACGGGGTTGGGTTTGATTCGATCTGAACCGAATCCAAGAGTACATGTTTCTGGATCCAATCCATCATGTACTTAATTAATGAATGGCTATATTTATAGATTTTTGTTTTCACTATATAGAAATAAATTTTATGAATAATTCACTACAAAATAATGAAATATCCGTGACTTCATTGTTTATTCACGAAAGTTTCAGAACAAATTACGTTACCAAACGTCATAAAATCTCTGTTCATGTCTTGTCAAAAAGTAATTATATCATCTTTGTCAGTGTTTTAAAAATCGACGAACGTCTATACCATTCTGGTTGCTGTAAGTTATTTAATTAAAAGAGAAAATCTATGATAAAAAAAATATGGTATATGAAAAGAGTTTTGATCGATCAAAATCCATCCATGATTTTAATAAATAATACTATATTTTTTACCACGTTTATAATTCTATTTTATTAGTAAATTATTTTTTGGATATCATATCTATTTTATATCATAATCGGACCTAATTAAAATAGCTTGAACGACTATATTTACGTACTGAATACTACTTCAGAGATGTAAAATCGCATCTGAAAAGCACTCCCAACTGGGCACTAATTTCTTCTTCCCAAGTCCGAGAATAGCGGATCTATTGTCCAACCCAATTCCATAATTTGGCCTTTTGCTCCTAGTTTAGTGTGACTATGAACCGGTTCTCATTTCTCCTGGTTCGATTGCTCCTCCTAGCACAACCCGTTTTTTCGTGCCGCCTGCATTGTAACGGGCCGGGCTAGGCCCTGTAGCAGGCCATGCCTACCTGGCTTGTGGGTCGGCAAGATTTTTCTTTCTCAAAGAAATTGAAAATAATAAAATTAAAAATTAACAAAACAGTCAACAAAATGAAAAAAGAATCTTAAATATATACCATTGTTCATATACAAAATAATAAAGTAAAATTAAAATTAAGAACTTATATACTTATATATTTTATATATATTACCGTACCAGTCGGTGGCTTGAACCCTAGACCGAGATCAAATATGCGCCCCACAAATGTCCTACAGTATATCTTAACTGTGTATTCAAAATATCTTTCAAAGTTGTCAGTGGAAAATGTTCTCAATACACTATTGAGATATGCTGTGGGGGCACAGATGTGAATTCCCCTAGACCCGGTTCGCTACTGTAGAACAGGGCCGTGCCGTCCACTATGAAAAAGTAAAATTAAATATTGAACAGGAATGGCAGTACACAAATTTACCACCCATTACAAGATTTTGGATTTTTCATCAATCACCTTCCCTAAATAACATCTTAATTTTTTGGTAAAAAAAACATTTCAATATTTATGTTTCTTTAGTAGAAGGAAAAATTAAGGAATTTGCCATCTTCAAGTATTTAAGTTGGAGGAGTGTAAGGGAGAGACGAGGGGTATAATCAAGGCATATTCTTTGACACTTTACAGGGACAGGAAAAGAGGAGAGACAGAGTGAGCGAGGAATTCGAGTCAAAAGACACTATAAGAGAGTATTTTATTTTCTGGTATTCCCAGTTTTTCTGAGCTTAGTGGTCTTGTGTTTCTATAAATAGGGACCCAATTCTGAGGTTCGGATCATAATCTTCTCCTGTTCTCTTCTTCTCATATGTCTTTTTTATTTTTGTTTCTGCGAGAGAGATCAATATAGGTACTTTTTACTGTAATTCTTCTTCATTTTTCTGGGTCTTACTAGCATCACTATCATCTCTTTACAATTTGACGCCGACCCTTTTTGTAAAATATTTATTTTGATTCTCATTGGTTTTGCATTCTGTCTCCATTGAATTGATCATCTGGGTTTGTGTTTTTGTGGCATGTTGTCGATTCAATTCGTTATATCTTAATGTACTTTTCCTTCTTTTAATTTGTGATCTGATTGATAATCAAGGACGTGGCTCCTGATTCACTTTGGCAGGTTTGATCTCTTTTTGGTTGAGAAGAGCGTAATTCTCGTGCATTCTTAGCTTTTTTTTTTTTCCTGTGGAAGACGAGGAGAAGTTTCCAGTTTCGATTGAGTGGTAGAGGAACCGAGAGAGGAGAGAAGCAGGCAAGGGAGGAATGGCTCGGAACTTAGAGAAGCTGGCGTCGATCGACGCTCAGCTGAGGCTTTTGGTCCCTGGGAAGGTCTCCGAAGATGACAAACTTGTTGAGTACGATGCTCTTCTGTTGGATCGGTTCCTTGACATCCTTCAGGATTTACATGGAGAGGAGCTCAAGGAAACGGTAATCTATTCTTTCTGTCTCTGCAAAATCTTTTTTTATTTGTTTAAAAGATTTTTTTTTTTTTTGGGGGGGGGTTCAATTCGGGTCTATGTTAAAACCAATGATACCAAATCATTGAAATAGAGCAACATACGGATACCCATATGTGTATGAATTGCAGTTTTGAAGTTTTTGCTTTTTTTCCTTAGAATTAAAATTGGCTCATTGTTTGGTTGCAATGAATATCTTATTTGCAAAATCTATGACGAAAAGCATAAGATGAAAACACAATATATTATTATCGGTTTTGCAGTTTTATGTTTTTTATCTTAGATTTCCTGCATTTATTTTTATTTTTATTTTTGTTTTTCATGCAGCAAATGATTACTTGCGACATTGCATGTATGTTGATCTTAGCTTCATGGAAGAAAGAAACTAGGAAAGGGAGGCCCCTGGAAATTCATTTTAAAATGGAAATATGCATAAATGCTTGATTTTTATCTTCCAGCTGTTATATGAACAGGATTGTCTGACTAATAAATCATGGATTCTTGATCTAAAACTTTCCTGCTTTATCATATGTTTTTACATGCAGAAAACCATTAAGTTTGACGGTAGTTGTATTATATATTTTACAGGTTCAAGAGGTTTATGAGCTTGCTGCTAAGTATGAAGGGAAGCATGATTTTCAAAAGCTGGAAGAGCTTGGAAATGTATTAACAAGTCTGGATCCAGGGGACTCTATTGTTGTTGCCAAATCATTCTCCCACATGCTTAACTTGGCCAATTTGGCTGAGGAGGTTCAGATTGCTCACCATCGGCGGACCAAACTTAAAAAGGGAGATTTTCATGATGAGAACTCGGCAACAACTGAATCAGACATTGAGGAAACTCTGAAAAGACTTGTTGTGCAGCTAAAGAAGTCACCAGAAGAAGTTTTTGATGCACTGAAGAATCAGACGGTGGATTTGGTCTTTACTGCACATCCTACTCAATCAATTCGTAGATCTTTGCTCCAGAAGCATGGAAGGTTTTTCCCCCTCTTAAATACTTTTGACTTTTGACTTTACAATTGAAGAAAAGAAAAAGGTCATATGGTGTATGTGTGTGTTCTTTTGTATTATGGTCCTTGGGTTTGGATATCACAAGGTCTTTTTTCTGCGTTGGTTCTACTCAGTTTTCTTTCTATTTATCTATAGCTTCCTTTTGGTCTCAGGATAAGGAATTGCTTAACCCAGTTGAATGCCAAAGACATTACTCCTGATGACAAACAAGAGCTTGATGAAGCTCTACAGAGAGAGGTAAAAAATAATTGGTGCTATCGTGATTTTTTTCTTTTCATTTCTGTCAGATTCTTGGCTCCAATATCTCTTACTTTTATAAGGTACTTATAGTGAACTATCAACTTGAAAGGTCAATTCTAACTTCAGGATTTTATCTTTTTTTCCCTCCTTGGTTAAAACCATCAGTTTTAACTTGTGCAAGTAAATTGATTTAGAAATACTTGGTATTGGATAGCTTGCTAGAAGTCCTAGTGTCATTGTAGATAAAACACCTTCGAACCATCACTTCTCTGTTTCTACTTTTTAGTTTTCTCATACACTTTACTATAGTTTTCCATTTTCCTATTTAAAAAATCACTCTCCTGTTTGGGCCCCATTACCCTAATATACCTAAATAGTTATCTATTACTATATAAAGCGGATGCTTGCCTTGGTTTTGGTGCAGGTCATAAAAAATAAATTTGATTGTGCAACATTAACTTATATCTTTACCCTTTAATTGCACACATGCATAGCACGTGCCCTCAAACTAGTTATGAGAAAAGCTAATATCATTTATGACCTAACACCAATCTCAACTGTTGTTGTTCATTTTGACTGGTATCCAAACTAAAGTCATCATGTACGTATAATTTTCCACCCAATATACATAACCAAAATGGCAAAACTAGACTTTGTTATCATATTTTTGCTTCCTGAACCAAAACATATTTTGTTGTTATAATCATCATCTAAGCCTTAAGCCAACTAAATGGGGTCAGCTACATGAATTCCGCCCTGTTCAATGCCATACTCTGTTATAATAAATGCGCAAAGTTGTTCTGTTTGAGATTGAAATTATATTTGAAGGTGCAAAGTTGTTCTGTTTGAAATTGAAATTTTATTTGAATCTGCCAACTGGTTCGGTTAGTAAGGTCTCTAGCTGGTTGTAGCGGAGACTTGAGATCAGATTCTGTTTTCACCAAAGTTGGGGGGGGGGGTTTCATGGGTTTAGGGGATGGACTACCCCCTTTGTGTAGCCCCATTGAACTAAATAAAAGTTGTATTTATATTTAGAAGTTTCTGAAAAGATAGGGAATATTTTCTTGAATAAGCAGCCCTCTTTATTCTGTTTTTCTGCTTATCTTTTCTTGTAACCTTTCTTTTCTGTTTTTTACAGATCCAAGCTGCATTCCGTACTGATGAGATCCGGAGGACTCCTCCAACTCCACAAGATGAGATGAGGGCAGGAATGAGCTACTTCCATGAAACACTCTGGAAAGGTGTCCCGAAATTCCTAAGACGTGTGGACACTGCTTTGAAGAACATTGGAATAAATAAGCGTGTTCCTTATAATGCCCCTCTCATTCAGTTCTCTTCTTGGATGGGTGGGGACCGTGATGGTATGCTCCTTCTCAGTGAATAATTCTTCGATGAGCATTCTTTTTCTTGCGCTATCTTGGTAATCAAATAAAAATATAATTTAGAGTTGACAATTTTATTTACCAATAAAAATTATGAAATTCATAATGAATTACCTAGGGGATGATGTAGTAAATGGGCATCAATTCCATACTTAAAATGTTGAAAGTTTTTCTAGTTTGTTGGGATGTATAGGTTATAAAAACCAGTATGAAATTTCCCATGAGGTTTAATTTTATTGGGTGAAGCAAACCAAACCCACAGGAGAAAGAACATCTTTTCTTTAACATGGTTTCTTATTAAACTGATAAAAATGTTAATATTTTAAATGGGATCATCATCATCATCATCATCATCCAAGCTTTATCCCAACTATGTGGGGTTGGCTACATGAATCCTGTTTCTTCATTCTGTTTTGTTTAATGTCATATCCATTTTTATATTCATAAAAAAAATGGCATATCTATTTTTATATTCATCAAAAAAAATGTCATATCCATTTTTAAATTATTTGCATTTAAATCATTTCTTACTAAGACACATGTCCTTTTGATCCACCCCTACCCTTTCTAGCCCCTTCAACTTGCAACAGATCACTTCTTTACTAAGACCCATGTCCTTTTGATCCACCCCTACCATCTTAGTGTGCTTCCTCTCATTTTATCCATGCTTATATTTTAGGTGCAGTTTCTTTACTGCCCAACAGTCTGCTCCATAGGTCATAGCTGGCCTTACAACTGTTTTATAGAATTTCCTTTTGACCTAAGTGGTATTCGCCTTCACATTAGATTCTGGGTGCACCCCTCCGTTTTGCCAATCCTGCTCTAATTCTATGAATAAAATTCTCCTCAGTCTCTCCCTTGTTATGAACTATCGAATATGCTCACTATTTCTTGTGCTAAATTTAGTTATTCTTTTTGTTTGCATTCATTGTACATACATATATATGTATCATCATCATCATCATCCATGCCTTATCCCAACTATATGGGCTCAGCTACATGAATCCTGTTTCGCCAATCCATTCTATTTAATGTCATATCCACTGTTAAACTATTAGTGCTTAAATCATTTCTTACTACTTCTACCCATGCCATCTTAGTCTACTTTCTCTCATTTTATCACCTATTGGAGCTATACTTTATGCCATATATGTATTACATAAACAGAAATTCCAAAACGGTTTTTCCTTATATTAGTTCTCATTTAGTTTTATAAGGGTTAATTAGTACATGCATAATGTACTATGACGACTTCTCTGGTTAACATTCTTATTATGGAATGTAGGAAATCCAAGGGTAAATCCTGAGGTTACAAGGGATGTATGCTTGTTGGCTAGAATGATGGCTGCTAACTTGTACTTTGCGCAGATAGAGGATCTTATGTTTGAGGTATTAGAAAGTTTCTTTCAATCTTAAGTATCATTATGCTTCTCACATCCCAGTAAAGAAGAAATTTCTCCCTTCTATGGAAAAGCTTTTACATGGTATATTCATTACAGTCTGGTATTCCTATTCTAATTTATTTTGTTTTTCTTCCTTGTAGTTATCTATGTGGCGTTGCAGTGATGAACTTCGTGTCCGTGCAGTTGAACTCCATAGGTCCTCAAAGAAAGATGCTAAACATTACATAGGTATTTGATTGGTGTGAATGGGGGGTTTTTTCTTGTACATGTCTGAATTTTGAGCAGAGCATAAGAGAACATCTCATTTAGAAGGGCTGAGCCTGAGTCTGAAATAGTAAGGGATCTTTGCCAACATGCATGATTTTGTTTGTCAAAACAAAACTATACATATTGTCCAACACCCTCTAGATAGATCACTAAAACCTGCAAAAGTTTTCTGTAGCTGTATTTTCTGTGTGTATATTCTGAAACCCTATCTGTTTGCAAACAGCTTAATATTTTATTTATCCATTTTCCTTTAGAACTCTACTTTTCATATCCAAAAGGAGGATGTGCTCCACTTCAGGAATTTTCTTGCTTATTTCGGAAGGAGTGGTCCTTTTTTTTGGGTTTTAATTGCACTCCTATTTTTGTCCTGGTTGCAGAGTTTTGGAAACAAGTTCCTCCAAATGAACCTTATCGTGTTATTCTTGGTGATGTGAGGGATAAGTTATATCATACACGTGAACGCTCTCGTCACTTATTAGCCCATGGAATCTCTGATATTCCTGAGGAGGCAACCTATACCAGTGTTGAGCAGGTACCTATAATTCATCAAGTTTACTCATTTTTCTGGTTGGAGATAATTAAACAAACGGCCTTTGTTCTTATTGCTAAGTACAAAAATGTGCTTCTGTATTTTTATTTATTTATTTTTTGACATGGTTAGAAAATGGTGCTGTGATTCGATCATTTATAGCTTTGAGGACAACCTTGGTTTTTTTTGGAGAAGCCATATTACATGTGCTTATAAAGAAAATTTCTAGATAATCAATGAAACTAGTTAGAAAAGTAAAGCTATTTGTCTTCTCAACATGCTGCTTTCCAAATGGAAGTTCTTTACTCTGGTTAAAACTACAAGTATACAAAAGGTGTGATTCTGGCAAATATCTAATTCTCGGTTAATTAGGCACACCCTTAATGTTAGTCAAAAGGTATATCTTTTCGAATAAAAATGTATGCCATATTTTTTTTCTTTTACTTGGAACATACCGGATTGACATGCCCCAAACAGACCCATAATAAAATAGTATGAACTAAAAATTTTCACTAATGCAGTGTGTAAATTGTCACACATCATGAATAACGTGAACTCAGGGATTCACTCGATATTTTTTTTCTGCTCTCAGCTAGGTTGAATTACTAAATACTAAGTGATTCTTTCCTTTTATTTACTTGTGTAGTTCCTGGAACCTCTTGAGCTCTGTTATAGATCACTCTGTGCTTGTGGTGATCGGCCGATTGCTGATGGAAGTCTTCTTGATTTCTTGCGTCAAGTTTCAACATTTGGCTTGTCACTTGTGAGACTTGATATTAGGCAAGAATCAGACCGGCACACTGATGTCATGGATGCCATCACCAAACATCTGGGTATTGGATCTTACCGGGAATGGTCTGAGGAACAACGCCAGTCATGGCTGTTGTCTGAACTAAGTGGCAAGCGCCCATTGTTTGGGCCTGATCTTCCCAAAACAGAAGAAATTACTGATGTGTTAGACACCTTCCATGTCATAGCAGAACTGCCCTCAGACAACTTTGGGGCATACATTATCTCAATGGCAACTGCACCATCAGATGTGCTAGCAGTTGAGCTTCTACAACGTGAATGCCGTGTGAAGAAGCCATTAAGGGTTGTACCATTGTTTGAGAAACTTGCTGATCTTGATGCTGCTCCTGCTGCTGTCGCTCGTCTCTTCTCCATAGACTGGTATAGGAACAGGATCAACGGAAAGCAGGAAGTAATGATTGGGTATTCAGATTCTGGGAAGGATGCCGGGCGTCTCTCTGCAGCTTGGCAGTTATATAAAGCTCAAGAGGAGCTTATAAAGGTTGCAAAAAAATATGGAGTGAAGCTGACAATGTTCCATGGGCGAGGTGGGACTGTTGGAAGAGGAGGTGGTCCTACCCATCTCGCCATATTATCGCAGCCACCAGACACAATTCATGGGTCTCTCCGGGTGACTGTTCAGGGTGAAGTAATTGAACAGTCTTTTGGGGAGGAGCACTTGTGTTTTAGGACACTTCAGCGTTTCACTGCTGCTACACTTGAGCATGGAATGCATCCAGCAGTCTCACCAAAGCCAGAATGGCGTGCACTCATGGATAAGATTGCCGTCATTGCTACTGAGGAATATCGCTCTATTGTCTTCAAAGAGCCCAGATTTGTAGAATATTTCCGGCTTGTAAGCATTCTGAAAACCATATGCATCTTTTTGTCCTTTGTCATTGTTTAGCTTGCCACAACTAATGGTAATATTTAAATAATCCTATTTTTGTTTCTGATACCAGGCTACGCCAGAGATGGAGTATGGTCGTATGAACATTGGTAGCCGTCCATCTAAGCGAAAGCCAAGTGGGGGCATTGAATCACTCCGTGCAATTCCATGGATATTTGCATGGACGCAGACAAGGTTTCATCTCCCAGTATGGCTTGGATTTGGTGGAGCGTTCAAGAATGCCATTGGACAAGACATCAAGAATCTTCATATGCTGCAGGAGATGTACAATGAGTGGCCTTTCTTTAGGGTCACCATTGACTTGGTTGAGATGGTGTTTGCCAAGGGAGATCCTGGCATCACTGCTTTATATGACAAGCTCCTAGTGTCAGAAGACTTGTGGCCTTTTGGAGAGCGGTTGAGGGCCAACTATGAAGAAACTAAGAAGCTTCTTCTCCAGGTAAAATCAAGGGCTCAAGGCATCGTACTTCTATTCTAGTAGTCTTGGTTGAGTTATTAGGAATTTTGTAAACTGATTATTTCTATATTGCTGCAGATTGCTGGTCACAAGGATCTTCTTGAAGGTGACCCATACCTGAAGCAAAGACTCCGTCTTCGTGACTCATATATCACAACCCTGAATGTTTTGCAAGCCTATACACTAAAGCGAATCCGGGACCCCAGCTACAATGTGAAGTTGAGGCCGCACTTGTCAAAGGAGATCATGGAATCAAGCAATCCATCCAATGAACTAGTCAAGTTAAACCCCACAAGTGAGTATGCACCTGGCCTGGAGGATACCCTAATCTTGACCATGAAGGGTATTGCAGCAGGCATGCAAAACACTGGTTGAAGCTTTTTTTTTTCCTTTCTATTTCTCATATAGTTTATCTTTATCGAAGGGTAATTATAAATGTCATAAGAGAGCTGGAACTGAATATTTTGCTTTGATAAAATGTCCTTTTTCATGTCTGGTTTACCAATCCTTTGGCAAACTGTCTGTCAACATTGCATTTGTGCACTCCTAAGAAATTAGGACAACAAATCTCTTTTAGGTGCAGTCATAAAGACAATCCAATTGAGATGGAAAGGATTTCTATCAGTACTCCAGTCTGCATGTAGAACAATACTATTTGAAATCTTTGAGCAAGTGTTTTCATGTTCTTTTTTTTTTTATATCAAAAGATGAGCTACACAAACCTGGGGGTAGCTCTTCCCCTTGCATCCGCATCACAAAAAAAAAAAAAAATAATAATTTTCATGTTCATTTCTTAGTTGGGCACCCTCGAACCTTGACCCTTCCTGGCACAACCAATTTGTAATTGCCTAAGGATTTTCATCAGTACCCCAGTCTGTATGTGAAGTCATATCATTGAAATCTTTGAGCTAGTGCTTCCATGCTCATTTCTTAGTTGGGTACCCTTGATCCATCCTGAAAATGTATTTGTACTTACTGAACCGGGCAAAAGTAGTTCAACTGATATCAACTAACCATCAGTAGAAAAAGTAAAAGCTATGTTGGTTTCCCTCTATAAAATAGCTTTATTAAAGTTACTGATAGGGAACTTTTCTACTGACCATGTGTAGAAAAAGTAAGAAGTGTGTTGGTTTCCCTCTATAAAATAGCTTTATTAAAGTAAACTGAAGATAGAACCATTGGCAAACCAAATGCCACTTTATTGGATAAGCTTTCTGAACGTTCGGTAAGAACTGCGTAATCTAAAGCTATTATACTTTTAAGTCCCAAAAGCACAAAGCCTAAAAGCATGTTCGGGAGGGCTTCTGCATTTGGATTGAGCTGTTACAAAGAAGCAGATCATGTTTGAGCATGAGAGCATCCGTGTTCGGGTACTCAGACTCAAGAGTAGCTTCATATTTTAATCGTTCAAGTGGTGTTTTGATTTGAACACTAATTTGGGCTTTTCGGATTTTCACTAAACACAATTTCTGATATTTTTGTGTGGGGCCTAATTTGGAACGCCAAACGCAAAACCATGTCTCCAAATTGTAGCTTTATGCTTTGGGGCTTTAAAAGCACAATTCCTGAATCTTATCGAAACGCAACTTAATTCATACAGAGTTATGCACTACCAATTACCAGGTGATTTCCTTTGATGATGCGTGTGTCAAGTGATTTTCCTAAAAGTTTCCAGTAGCTTATGATGAAAAAGCAAATAGGTTCATCTTCATGGATTACTTTCTGATTGGCCTCATGTTCCAAACTCTTTTTCTTTTTATGGGCCCATCCTATTCCTATGATTCCGGCCCATCCAAACTCTTCGTAGTTCATACACAACTAACCTGGCAGAGTCCGTATACATAACTTGCAAGAATTCATAATCTTACGACAGACTTAATGCCAAACATGCATATAAAAAATGAAGTATTTTCCTAATTAATCCTTACATTGGTCATAATTTTATGGGTTCTTTGAACCATTACTTGTTTTTGGTTGCAATAAAGCAAAGAAATGAAAATGATTTCCTTGGAAAATGATACTTAATAGGAAAACAAATCTTATTATTAACTTTCCTGGTTTCTTAACTTGAAAAAACAGTGCTTTAAAAACTAACCTAGAACTAGAACCACTTCAGCGGTTCAGCCAATGGTTCCGGGTCAGCAGTTCAACTGTCCGGTTCAAATGGATCATCTGTGATATTGGCATGAAAACAATTACTCGGGTTGAATGAGTCAATAGTTCAACCACTTGAGTCAGCCGGTCGCCGGCAGGTTTTTGGGCTGAACGGTCCATCCGGGCCAATGACAGTTTTAAATCCTTTTGAAAAACATAAATCATTTTCCTACTATACAATTGGTACTTGTTTTTGAAAAATATCCGTTTCTCATAATACATTTTACGTGTTGCCAAACATGGTGTAAAACACTGTTCAGGAAATCGGTTGCTTTTATTCATTCCGATTTCCGAATATAACAAAACTGGAGTCCATATGTCAGAAAAATGCATAGAGTGCGGCAGACATTGATATCTTCCTTCACAAACAAAACACTGTTCTTCTTTTGTTAATTAATCGTGTCTTCTAAATTTCCGGTGGCAGTCCTTGACCCGACCTTCATCTGGCATCCGGGATTCCCTTGTTTTTGGGCGACCGTGACTCAGCCCAGTAAACAATCTCACTAGATCCAGGTTGGCTCCCTCACCTAAAGCAAACTTTTCCTATCAACTTTTAATATCTTTTGGATTAAAGATTAGTTTGTTTGGATTAGTTTTTGCTTTAGAGATTTGGGCTGCAGAAAATATAACTGTCAGAAAGTGTTTTGAATGTTTGGTGGAAGTTGCTTTTAAAAATAACAATCTGAAGCCAAAACACTTTTAAGTTTTAATTAAGCCACAAAACATAAGCCTTAACATTTGGATTTTGAACTTTTAGGCTTTAAAAGCAAAAAATGCTGAAGCTTATCCAAACATAATCTTTAAGTAGAATACCTTTTTTAGGCCAGGCATTTCCAAATTCTGACTATGTGACAAACGGCCCATTTTGTTTCTTTTTCAACCTTCCCATTTCCTCTCATCTGTTTCTGTTCCACTGTGACAAGCTCTCAAAGCTGCAGAAAAAAAATTTTCCCCTTTTTTTACCATGTGGAAACATGAAGTTGAGTAGAAGGAAATTCTTAAGGATTTGAACTAGTGTTTTCAAATCACTGTTGATCTGGTCGGTTGAACTATTCAAATCATTACCCGGTTAAGATCTTAGGTTTGGTTTGAGTAAAACTTGGAGAAAGGTCAAAACCCATTGATATATATAAAATATGTATTTTATAGATTGTAGAAAATAGAAAAATGTAAAAAAAAACAGAAATTATAAAAAACATTAGAAATTATAACAAAACACTAAAATGTAAAAAAAAAAAGAAAATTGAAAAATGAAAAAGACCCTTTTTCCTCTAACTCACCATTCAAAGGTGATTTGGTCATAAGAATTGTTATTTATGCTGACATGGACACCTCTGTTAACAAACATTAACGATGTACTAACAGAAGGTGAGCTTTGGAAAATAAAAACTTATTGACATGGTGAGTTTTAGACATTTTAAAAAGTTGTAGTGAATTTACGAGAAATGCTGAAAACTCATGATAAGTTTTAGATAACATTAAATATATGTTTACAACAGCCACGCCTCATAAATATATGCTGAAAACTATTTGAGGTTACAACAGCCCAACGTTAACTGAAACATTAAATATATGTTTCCTCCAACGGCTATCAAACTGTTGCATCTGAATTGGTGTAGTGCTTACCTGGCTTATTATGTGACAGGTTATGGATGTGATTCAAGTAAATGGTTTTCTACAACGCCTGATCAGCATTCATCCAAACCAAACATGTTTTAGGAGGAAATAGGCATATTATGCATGGATGCGGTGTATCTGATTCATCCTCAATCACATCACCACACCACACCTCAATACCAAACACCCACTAAAAATTCAGTGTCTGAAGTTGTATATCACCAAGCTTAAGGCCCCTTGTGTGAGAAGAAGCCATTAATTATTGAATTGGAGTAAGATGTGGACTAATAGGTATGGTACTAGTATGGAATTATGGATAGGAAAGAGTTGTTAGATATTAATAAAATTACTTTTTGGTAAATATATAATTGGGAAAGCGCTGCTGGTAGGCAAAGCTCCAATTCTCAACTCCCTTTATAAAGAAAAAAAAAAAAGCTTAAAATAATTAAGGAGAAGACTGAAGACTTTCCATGGAACATTAGTTAAAGCAATTTGTTGATGAGCTACAAAAGCAAACAACAATATGCTCTTTAAGTCTAATTTCCAACCCACCCAACACCAACTTTTCTTTACATTTTCCTCCATTCCAATATTCAAATGAAAAGATCCTCTAAAGTACCCAAAAAGTTTATCTTCTCCAAGTAAAAAGAAAAGCAGATGCTTCTTAGTTTAGTATTTTTATGAAAGTTCATAGAAATGAGCTTACTTTTGCATTGATTGAATAAGATTCCTCAATAAATAAATCCTATTTTCCTTGACACTGAAGCTCCACTTTCCATTTCAATTGAATGCACCCAAAAACCATATCCTTTATTTAATTTGTGGAAAGAAACATCAAGATTATAAAATCCATGTAAACCCTCAAAAAGATGACTTGAAAGTCGAAACAAGAACAAGAAGAAAAGAAAAGGCTTCAGTATAATAATAAAGTCTCCAACTTTGAGGATCAGACTGAACAGACTCTCCTTTTAAAAGAGAGTACTGTGCTCATAAAGAACTTTTTATATGGGCTCTAAAGTTTCTCATGGAGGTTTACAATGTGGTAGCTCATACACATACATGGAGCTGTATTTGGATTGGGTCCACCCAATAGAACTGAACTGATCAAATTGAATATGTCGGTTCTGGTTCTCCTTATTTTCTTGTAAATTTTGTTACATTTTGTCTAAAAGGGTAATATAACTTTGATTAAAAACATTTGTTTGATCAACATATAAACAGTTACATTTATTCTCATTTTTATTAAAGTTATATTTATTAAAAGTGAAGTTCCAACTTGTAATTATCATGGGTATTTATAGATTTCAACTGGATCAATCCTGCTGATTAATAATTAGTTTGGTTTTGAATTTATTTTATAAACAAATTATTAATCAGATCAGGACTGGTCCATCCTGTCCATCCTAAACTGCAATCAGAATTCATTCCCAAGTGAGAACTTGGCCTAGATTCTCATCAATGGAATGAAAATTGAGGATGTTAAATCTTATGGCCCATCTTACATCTAAGGGAAGAGGAGCCTCAAGAAACTGGATGGCTAATTAACATGGAACCACTGATTTCTAGATGAAAGCAACCAAATATTAAAATCGGAGAATGACATTATTGGCAATGGGATCCACAAAAGTAGATAATGAGGGTTAGTAAATAGAAAAGGTATATCTCTTTATGCTCCCATCCACCATCTTCATTACTTAATATATATATATATATATATATATATATATTAGGAGACCAACCCTGATGTGGGAACCACTATTGAGGTCTACTGTTACCACGTCACATGGTATGCTGACGTGGACTAAAAGCTCCACGTCCACTTTTACTGAGTGGGTCTTTTGGCATTCTTGGGTGACACAAGGAAGCTGTCTTTGCAGCCGTCACATGGCCTTTTTCAATGGCCTCTTTCCTCCTATATATACAAACATTTCCTTTGGCTTCTCCTTTGAGAAAATATCTCTAACATTCAATCTCTTCTACACATAGATCTCTCTCTCTCTCTCTCTCTTGGTTTGTGCCATGGCCGACGTAGATAGCAGCGGAGGTGGTGCGCCGGGAATCAAGCTTTTCGGCACGACAATCGCTCCGCAGGTGAAAGGAGTTGAGGTGAAGAAGCCAGCAAAGGCCGATGACACAAATGAAAAGAGGGCGGAGAAGACAATTCCATGCCCAAGGTGCAAAAGCATGGACACCAAGTTCTGTTATTTCAACAACTACAACGTCAACCAACCTCGGCATTTCTGTAAGGCATGCCAGAGGTATTGGACGGCCGGAGGGACGCTTCGGAACGTACCGATTGGAGCCGGGCGTAGGAAAAACAAGCCTCCAAGTCAGGGGACAATTGGGTTCCCCAACAACTGTGTGTTCGATGCTTCTGGGGTGAACCAGTTTGACTTTGAGGGTGTGATGGAGCAGTGGAGCATAGCCACGGCCAGGGGCGGATTCCGGCAAGTTTTTCCGTCGAAGAGACGAAGCAACACATCTTCTGGTCAAATATGTTGACTTTTATATTTCCTTGTTGCCCCAACGGATTTTAAAAAGAAACGAAAATTGCTATTGGGGTCATATATAATTGTATATACAGGCTTGTATGAATTAATTAATCATGTTACAATGTATTCTCCATTAAAATGGCCTCTCAAGCTCAAAATCAATGATGTGCTGAACAGTTCTTCTCTGAGGGTGTTTGACAAAGTCTCATGCCTTGCTATGAACTTCCATTTTTCCTCACTCACTCATTATTATATAGCTGTCTCAGATGGTCGATCGATTGTATTGCATATGCCTCTGGCCGGCCCCACCTAGAGATGAAAGATTGAAATCAAATCAAATCAAATCAAATATACATAATCAGGTGGCGGATCCGATAGATTAATGCTTTGAGATACTCTCTTGCATGTGTGCCATGTGCAGAGAAGATATGTTAGGAAGTGGTGACTTTCTTTACAAGGGTACAGCATAAAACATTGTATCTGTATCTTGTTGTTTTTGTGGTTAGAGAAGAGACATGATATCTGTATCTGGTATAACAATATTTAAAGTAACAAGAGAGTCAGAAGATACCAAAACAGGCTTCTTATTTTATGGGTATCAAAGGATTAGGCTTAGTTTCTGTACCTATAACATATCAACAGGTCACCCATATGAAATTCTAAATAAATGGTTTTCAGAATTATGCAAACAAAATCATAGCCGGAAAACCTGGAACTAGATCAATATTTTATACATGTGGTGAGAGACTTTTTCAGAGGGCCAAAGGTAGCTAGATGCGTAGAACCTCAATATTTGCTGGCTCTGGTTGTTAAACGATGCTGTTTCCCATTTAATGAGGGAATTGGCAAGAAAATAATGGGATTTCACATAAAAATGGAGAATGGGTGAGGGGAAAACAGGAAACAAAAGGGAAAAAGACTGCCTGTGGATATTCTTTGGAAAAAGCCCAAGAAAATTTTTGTTCAATGGAATTAGAATTCTCACTCTGTCATTCCCCAGCCAGCTTTAATTTGTTGGCCTTTACCACATGTTTTTGTGGGGGTCTTCTCCACCTTTCTTCATTTATTCTACTTCCATATCTAAAATCACTTTCAGTTTTTTTTTTTTTTTTCCTATACCTAGAAACTGTGGTTCTAGGGTTCTTTCTTCTTGGAATAAGCGACCACTCCACCGGCTAAGGATACAATTATCAATGTATGCAGGTTAATTGCGTTGATCACCTCCCCATATTATTCTGTGTGGACACTTGTTCAGAACTTTTTTGTTTTCTTTTCTCATAGTGTTTCTTCTCTTCAGGTTTAGAATCAAACACTATTAATAAACTAATACTAGAATAACCTCCTCTACTTATTATAATAATCAATAATTAATTTGTAAATAGAGATCCTAATTAATGGTTAAGCTTTAATAATAGGACTTCCTTGTAGCTCGTTTAGCATGTTTGAACTGTTCCTACTGCGGTCTTTTGTTTATTCATTTAGGAAGTGTTTGGCAAGTCTTTTTAGGAAAATCTTTAAAAATTTAAGACCTTAAAAGACTGATGAGCTTTTATAGCCTTTAAAGACCAAAGACTATTTAATTTCAATTTTTTTTTAAAGGTCTTCTTAAAAACTAAAATGACCAAAAGACCGTTTGACAAATATACTTGTCGATCTCTCTTATATACATATGAAACGTTAAGTATGGAACCCAGTAATAGTAATACATTCAAACATGTAAATAGTACTTATGGGTTCCACTTATACATTTACATTTACAAAATATTAAAATAAACCCACTCATATATTTTCTTATACAATATAGTGTAAATTACAGACCCCCCTGTGCTATGGGTCTGTGACAAATACCCCCCATACTTTATGACATTAGACAAAAGCCCCATTTTGTTAACTTTTCATTAAAATTTGCCATTACAATTCTTTTAATCCCCATAATACTACTCTTGTAATATCTATAAAGACAATTAGGAGAAAAATACTGTTGATCTTCCCTAACTTCACAATACACGAACAGCAACAGAATAATCCCTTCTAAGCGTAGGGATTGGGATTACCGTCTCTAAGAAAAGGCAATAAGGGAAGAGCTAACCGAATCCCAATCCCAACCCATTCTTCTGTCGACTGTCGAGACATATAAAATTGAGGACTCCACTTCCATCTCTCCTCCTCCTCCTCCCTTCGTGAAAAAGGCCATTAATTAAATTAATATAATAAATGAAATGAAAGAATCTTCTCTCTGAGTCTCCGCAAAGGCATTTTAATCGTGTAAACTCCAAGATTGATAAACAATGAACATAATTTATTAGCAGGGCTGAAAGCGTATAATCTAGATCTTTCCACAACCTTCCTATTTCCTGTGGGTGTTTCTCTTTCTCATGTCTTTATATTTTTACCTTTCCGTCTTTCACCCCCTCTCTCTATTCCTTAATAAATATCTAATCATCGTCATCGTAATCTCTCTCGTTGCCTCTTTCTTCAACTGATTTCTGTTTTTTTTCCTGTATCATCCATGGCCTCCATACCAGAAATGTCCGAGGCATCGTTTGTAGATCAACTAATCAGTAGTAGAAATAGAGATCTCTCTCTTTCTTCCTCTTATACTGGGTTTCACAAGCTCACCGAGGGGAGAATCCGATGACTCTGATCGGGAAAGTGAAGGACGGAGCCACGAGCGGATCATCCTCATCAACCCCTTCACGAAAGGCATGATCGTCATTGAAGGGGCTGGAAGGGGGTTTTTGTCTCCGTCCTTCACGATACACAAACACGAACAGCAGCGGCACTTATCCTCATCAACCCCTTCACGATACACGAACATGAACAGCAGCGGTGCTTATCCTCATCAACCCCTTCACGATAAACACGAAGGGGTTGATGAGGATAAACACGAAGGGGTTGATGAGGATAAACATGAACATGAACAGCAGCGGTGCTTATCCTCATCAACACGAAGGGGTTGATGAGGATAAACACGAACAGCGGTGCAAAATTAACAGAAGGAGGTGTTTGTCTCACAGTCATAATACAGAAGGGTTTTCGTGGCAAAACAAAGTAAAGGAGTGTTTGTGGGTCTTTATAATTTACCCTACAATATATCAATATAATCTCCATCTACATATTGGCATGTGATTATCACTTTTACAGTACACCAGGTAAGCAGATCGACTCATCTGGCTCAAACGTTTGCCTCAGTAAAATTTGATTCTCTTAAGATATTATTGTCTTCATGCGGGAACAAATCCCTAAAAATATTCATGGAGCCAATAATCAATGCAGCAACTAAGGCAAATTATACACATTTGGCTAGGGGGGAACTTGACCATATCATATACAATACTTGTCTATATCATATGTGGTATATGAAAAAACCCTTCATCTCCCACAACCAGTTTCAACCCCCAAAAAGTCCTCCAAATATTAATATACAACAAAAGTTTGGTGGTTGCCAGTACTGTCTTCTTGTAATGCACATCTTGTCGCTGTTTCAAGGCAATGAGGGAAACCTTTTCTTCCAAGTAACTTGTAAATTTAATATTCATAAAAACTATAAAAACTTTAATATGCAGAAAAAGCATAATTTTTAGATTATAAACCTAAAATAAAAACCAATGAGAATTTAGTTACATGCTTTTAAGAGCTATCAAACAAAGAAAATCTGGCTGCATGATACACAAAAAAAATGCCTAGTCTTGGATTTGGGTATTCTTATTAACTGCAGTCAGAACATCTTCAGTGGCTTTGGATACTTGGATAAATGTGGGGATCTTGGAGGTGGGTGAGAAACCTCACAACCATTGGTATCAAATATTGGTTAGGTGAATGATTCCATATTTTGAGTTTTAGAAAAAACACAAAAATCATACTCTATGTGGGAGAATAAAATCTATTCAAGGATTTCACTTAACAACTTAAACTTTTAGGTTGAATAGTTCTTTGAGATGATATCAAAGTCATTTTGACTAAGTGGTCTAGTATTCAATTCTCGTCACTCCCATTATAATCAATTAAGTTTCAGCACAAGGTATGGGTGGGCCTGTGCTGTCGACGTTTCAAGGCCATAGGCTTTCATGTGAGGGGGCATATTGGAGAACAAAACCTATTCAAAGACTTTACTTAACAGGTTAAGTTTTTAGGTTAAATGGTTCTTTGAGACTCTGGGACAAGAAGCCTATATCATGATATCAGTGAACACAGAAGGAAATAAATAAAGAGAGCTAATATTCTAAAAGATGATAGAACTACAACTAATGAGGTAAAAAGGCAAATTAAGAAACATGAAGGTTGAAGTTTAACTTGAGAGAAATATAAAGAGAATAAGAAAAAAAAAAGAGCAAAAACCGGGAAAAACTTGAGGTGTTGGTGTCTCATCGTAAGTTTATGAAGTTTGAAGGATAACATCCTTCACATGATAATCGACCAAACGAATTACAATGTGAGAGCATTATTCTATAATGGACTTTTGAAAGAGTTCACAAATGGAAACACAAATCCGATATCATCTGTTGGACACTCCATAAGGACTTCCTCTAAGATGCAGGAGCCTCAATTTTCTCAACTTCTTAATTGATTTTGGAGTTTCTTACTATGCAGTGTAAATTTTGTTTGCATTCGTATAACTGCAAAAGAGTGCAAATGGGCTGAGTATAAAAACCTAGTGTACCTTTGCTTGAGAATTGACGTTGTTTTGTTTGTTTGTAAGAAATAAGATTAGGGATGTCAATGGGTCAGTTCTACCAGATAGAACCGAACTAACTGATCAAATTTTTTATATTGGTTTTGGTTCTGTGATTTTATCCCGATTATTAATTGGATTGGGACCAGTTCTTACTGTTCCAAATCGATTAACTCCCTTGGATGGAGTTAATAATATATGCAGGTTTCTTAGATTTCTTGTAATTTTTATTATATTTTATGTCTGAAAGTAAAAGGATAAATTCGATAGAAAATATATAAGAAAATTTTGGCTAAAACATTTGATCTATTAACATATAAACAATTTATTATTTTACTGTCATTTTTATTAAAGTTATATTATAAAAAGTGAAGTTTCAAGTTGTTATTGACATAGATAACTATAGATGTCAATATAATCTGGGCCAGACTCCATTATCCTGATCAATAATCAGAACGGTTTTGGAGGTCTATGATGTACTGATTAATAATTGGTTTGAGACTGATACATCCT